TCCGATCGTTTCAACTTTTTCGACCGATTCCCGGGCAGAGGAGTGGAGGTGAGTGCGGGAAGTTCTACGATTTTGTGAATCAGTGCGGATGAAAAACAAAGAGGCACAAAAACACCGGATACCCAAAAAGAAAAATAAATTTTGATTTGTGAATAGGATTAAAAATACTTGTCGCATGCGATTAACAAAGTACCAAAAAATAAATAAATAGAGGCGGCGAAAAAGAAAAAAAAAACGATGCATGCAACGTTGGTAACAATGGTGCTCATTACAACGAATCACAAGGAGTATTCTAGAACATGATTCATACGCATGCAGGGCAGTACCTAAAAAAGCTGGAGACGGCATTCCTGGTTCAAAATATTTGAAATATTTAAATTACAAGTCTGAAAAATTCTTCACCCTTGAAAAAAAAAAACTCGAAGAAAAGCTTCATTCCAGGTCCCTTGCATATAATTACAGTACGTGAAAACTTTGCAGAGAATTTTACGCTATAGTACTTTTTTCCGGTACTTCTTTCGAAAAAATTTCGAGATCTTTCTTTTTTGTCACACGCAGGAAAATGCACACTTTTAGAAATAAAACAAAAAAGAAAAACTTGACCTTCGTTTTCTGCTTTGAAATGTAAATTTTCACCTCAAGCTTTCCAAGATTTCTATCAATTTTTAGCCAAAATGTTTGCTGGGTCCTACCTTTGAAAATATCAAGTGTTACTATTCAAAGCCTGCAGAGAAATGAGCAATTTGCTCGACAACTGCAATTGTAACATTAGAAACAAAAGCTGTACAGATAGAAGAACAAAACGTTGTTTCCATGTTAGAAAAAATGTAATACCATGGTTAAATCCATGTAAAATGAACAAAGATTGTTTTGATTTTTTTTTTCGTCGAACAAAGAACACTTCCAACATTAAAACCGTATTTTCCTTTCACACGTATATTTTTGGCATTCATAAAATACATTTTCAAATGCCGTACATTGGAAGAATTGCCATTATGATTTCGTCTTTCATACAAAATAAATATAAAATGAACAGCCGAGTTTCTCTGGAAATCCTTTCAATCGAAAAAACAAAAATTGGTCAAAACATCGTCGATTTCCCAGATTTTTTATGAACATTTCTTCGAGATCAGTGAATACTTGGAAGTTTTTGTTTTCTCTACAGACGCAAACATTTGCTGAAAATATAAGCTCCGATAAAAATGACCACAGGAAGGGATCATGCAAATTTTCCAATGGATGCAGTTTTGAAAAGCTCGTCATTGCTGCAATTCTCGAAGAAACTCGGCAATTCCAGGCAAACCATCCGAATCCCAAAAAAATACGTACGTCTTACAAACGTAAGTTTTTTTTTCCTTCTAAAATAAAATGCCCCGTGCATTCAACCTAATTCAATAATTTTTTCCATATACTTATAGCCAAAAAATATTCTGACTGACAATCGAATCTCCGTTAATAAATGGATTGCAGAAAGAAAAGAAGAAATACTATTTCCAATATTTATTGAAAAAAAAAATTCTGTTTCATGAACAGAAACCTCTGTTGATACCGTTTTTACGTGAACCCAGGCCGCACTCGGATTCCAATCAGCAGTTTCACAGTAAAAAATAAAATAAAATAAATACCGTACAGGCCGCATTAAAAAAACCAGAAGAATTTTACGGAAATGGGGCACGTACAAAGACAAAACCTCGAAATTTTAAAGACACGTCGAATCACAGGTTTTCGATTGATTTTTTTCATTTCTCCCAAACAAAAGCACAATTATTCCAGATCCATTGCTGTATATTCATCTTTCAAAAAACTGCGTGTAGCCCATATGCGAATATCTCGAGTTTTTTTTATTTTTAATTCAGAAGAGAAACGTAAACTTTGAGAAATAAACAAAAAGAAAGGCATCACCTTTGCTTTCTATCTTGAAATTTATATTTAGTTTCAAAATCTTAAGGCCACACTTTCACGGGGGTTTTCCAGAAAAAAAAGCGAAGTGCGGCCTCAATTCGCGTAAATACGCGTGGACGGGGGTTGCATAAAACTAATATTTCCTCATTATTTATTGCCAGAAAAAAATCCGGCCGACGACGAAGACAATGGGGTTATTATTTATAATTAACCACTTTTATATTAGGCTCGAATCGTTAGTAAATACATTGCAGATAAACGAAATAAAAAAAAACTCGTGTTGAAATAAAAATTAATGACGCGAAGTATTCAAATCGATAAACCAAAAAGAAAACGGAAAATAAATTTAAAAAAAAGAAAGAAAACAAGGGGAGTCAAAACACGTATACACTTAATTTACTTCGTATTGTCTGCCTTTCTTTCATTCTATAATTATTTTTCTTCTTTTATTTTTTCAGTTTTTCTAATTTTTCTTTGCTTCTCTTAATTTTTTTTAAAGAGGGGGTAATCGGGGGGGGGGGGGGGGGGTTCACAAAAGGGGGGGTG